TGAATAGGTGATTAAATATGATCCCCTTCCTTCTCTGGTATGATGAGGGGGAATTGAGGCATCATGAGTTGCAATGACTTAATTCTTTTGATGAAGCACTGGCAGAAGCAGGAATAGATGTAAATTCACTGTTGGCATGGGCCACCAGCTGGCATTGCTGCAACCTGGAGCAGAAAGATGGTGTTCTAGCTCTGTGCCAATCTCCTGTGCCACTTGTTTTCCAGTTCTATTGCCCAGCAGAGTCACCTGCCAGAGAGAATGTCACCTTACTAATTTTTTCCTACGGTGCTGTCTCGATGCAGGTCACAAATGAGTCCTGTGCTGTTGAAGTGGAGATGGAATAGCTGTTAGCAAGGGCAGGATCTGGCTATGGACGGTGCATGCTGATTTTTTGAAGGGAGCTGAGGTCTCTTAGCTCATCTTACTCCACTTGTGGAAACGGTCACAAAGTTTGTGGCCTAGTGAGATTTTGTTTTGCTCGTGCTCTCCTAGTTTATATCTGTGTGTTCTGTCTGTGCTGATGGTTCTGTGCACTTTGTAGGGGAGTCCATTCCCATCAGACTCTTTCTGGCTGGCTACGAGCTGACTCCAACGATGAGGGACATCAATAAGAAGTTCTCGGTGCGTTATTACCTCAATCTGGTGCTGATCGATGAGGAAGAGAGACGCTACTTTAAACAGCAGGTGAGAAACAGAGCTGTTAGTTCTTCTTGGACCTGTAGACTGTTGCTTGGGATACTATGTTATAAGGACCTTCTGGGAATTTGGGATTCCAGTGGGGGAGAATCATGTTCTTGACGGAATATCTGTTAAGGACCAGACAAAATTAGAGTGTGCAAAGAGGGTCTAAAAGGAATGGTCCATGCAGGTCAGATGTGCGTGGTGGCAGGGATGCATGTAGAAGGTGCCCACCTGGGACTTCTTTTCCACTCTGTTGCCGTTTGGTGGAGCTTCTGTGCTTCACCTTATGAATTCCAATGTGGTAGCCGATGGCAATGGGACAGAGCTGCCCTAGACGTCCAGTGGTTGCCTCTGTGTGCTCAGATCCCGGGGAGGAGTGCTCTACCCAAATTTTCAGGAAGGCTGCAGTGCGAGGCCTCTGCTTGCCACTGCAAGTGGTCTCATGTGCATGGCTGCGGGTGGAACGTGCCAGCATGGGCTGAGTTCTCACTGGGTGCAAGCGGCTCGCCTAGCAGCTTGGTTCAGCCTTTGGGTCTGGGAGGGGCCAGGAGAGGGTCTCACAAGCCCTGACAAGCCCTGCTGGCTGTGTTACTACAGGAGGTGGTGCTTTGGCGGAAAGGAGACATAGTGAGGAAGAGCATGTCCCACCAAGCAGCCATCGCCTCCCAGCGGTTTGAGGGGACATCCTCACACACCGAGGCCAAGACCCCCAGCCAGCCTGCAGAGAACAACAGCCGGCAGTGAGAGGCCACGCAGAGGAAGGCTGCTGTGGAGCCAGTGGGGACAGCAGCAAGGAGGAAGAAAAAACACTTCAGAGACTTCATGAAAATAAATACCCGTTTTTGACTTAATTCCTTTCTTCAAAGGACTCGTAGGGTGGGAAGGGGATGGGAGGGCAAGGCAAGCTTTGGAGCACTGGTGGTGTGGAGTTGAAGGTACCTCAGTGCTTCCCAATCAACTACATTCCTCTGGGGTCGGTTACTTTGAGGCGTGTGTTCGGAGGCTGCAGAGCTGCCTGATCTCCTCTTTGCCCTGAGACCCTTTCAGTGTGGCAGCGGGGAGGGAGAGAGCAAGTGAAGGCCAAATCTGCTGCTTCTTCCCTGCGGTGTGCAGGTTGCTTCGGGGCTGTGTAGGATGGATATTTTTCTTGCCTTTCTGAAATCTTCACGAGGGAAAATGACACAGTGATTAGCTGGCAGGCAGAGGAGGGAGTCAGAGATTGAGGTGCGGCCTACTTGAAATTGCTTAGTCTTATCCCCTCACTGCCTCCCCTTCCTCTTCATGCTGGCATTGGATTCCTTGTCACAAACAGTTATATAATGTAGTTGAGTCAGCCCTGGGACTGCCACAGAGCCCTGTGGAGCACGGGCAGCAGGCGTGCTGTTGTGTCCTTGCTGTGGAGCTCCCGACTGCCGTGCTGCGTCAAGGGGGAGCTGTGGCTGGTAGGAGGTAGTGAGGCATGCGAATGCAGTAGGAGGTGGCACAGGTTGGGCAGAGCAGTGAAGGTCCCAGTGCTGCTGGGTGTGCAAGAAGTGGGGGCAGGAAGGCTCCTGGTGGAGAGCAGTGCCTTCCTAGTCTTGTCCCGGCAGCTGCCTGAGTGCCCCTGAGATTCAGTCTCTGGTTGCTGCACTCATACAGGTCCCAGTTGCTGCTGCAGAGCAGGGGCAGACCAGCCTTGAGAGGTCTAGAGAATAGTTTTGGAATGTGAGAAATAAATGGGGGCTCTCTTGGGAGTGGGCTTACGCTGCACACGCTGCCCTGCTCATGTCTGTACTTTTGTGACAGAGCGGGCTTTGTAGTAGGGACAGACGGCAGTATAGAAACACGTGTGTATTGTTTTGTTCGCTCCCTCGCGCCTGCGGGATGAGGATTAGTAAGGACAGAAAGTGAATGCAATTGTTTTAAGAAGCTCATGGCCTGTGTGTGCTGCTAGATGAAGCCAAGCAGCAACTGGAAGGACAGTAGAGCTCTCCGATTCCAGAGACACATTCCTGAGGCCTGAGCTGAAATCACCAGTGAGGTCTGAGGGTATGCCATGAACTGAGCACCTGAATGTGGGTTTTTTCTTCTCTAAAATAAGCTTCTTGTAGTCTTCAGCTAAGTAGAATCATGAGAATGTTCCCAGAAGGGAATCACTCCTCTATTAAAAATTAGATGTGGCTTTGTAGACTTGATTGACTGAGTCTGGAGAATATCCATCCTGTTTAGATGCCCTTCAAGGAAGCAGGTGGTTAGACCTCCTACCAGATGGAGAGACAAGCCTGCACTAAATGCTGGGATATGAGCTCTAGCAAGTGGGATTTGTCTGGATTTCGCTATGAGTTTGTGGCTTACTAGGGTTTTGTCCAGCTTCCTTTTGACTCTGGAATGAATCTCTCCACCTCTGTCCTACAGCTGAATGTAGAACAGTTGTCTTGTAGCTGGGAAATGGACGTATGCTTTGTTTAGTGGAACAGTGCTGGTGGAGGGAATGGGGCCTGGGTGGGAAGGGGAGCTTTTTATGTAATAAGACAGCTACTGTATTTCAGTGATAAATGTGTGTTTCTGCTTGCCAAAGTAAGTTATCTTTTACTCACCACGTGTAAGGTTGTGGTTTTTAGTAGAGCTGGACAGTCTCGCTCTGTTGTAGAGGACACTAATGATCTCATCTCTGCTGAATGCTCGTGTCACACCATGTTTCTGCTCTGTAATAGTGAAGACGTGGCTTGCTTTTCTTTACATGAGAAGTCTGTGCCATGGGCTGGAGCCGTGTCTTCCTAAGACTGAAGGAAAAGCTTACTTTAGACAACTACCTTGTTATGCCAGGGCAAGGGGTGGTAACCTGCTGCAGGTCTCGCATGGCAAAGGAATCTGGATGTTACTTTTGACACTCACTCTACTCCCCCCGCCTCTGTGCAGGGGGAACCACCTGTGTTGTGGCAATACAAAATCTTTAAAAGAGACAAGTGCAGCTCCCATTGGGAGCCTCTGGGGATAGCAGACTATCTTTCCGTGGCTAAGCTGAGCACAGCAGTGCCCTAACTACCCTCTAGCTTTCCCTCAACTCCCATCCCCCCTAGAATTTTTTTCCTTGCCTATTCCTCTTGATTGTAGGCCATGTGGTATTAAAGAAACCCCATGGATGAAGATGTCTCTGCATTCCAGGAGTGTTTCGTTTACTGGCCGAAGAGCATCAGTACTGGATGTAAGATAATTGTCTGACAAGACATCTCTCACTGTAAGGAGATTTCTATCAAACATCTGCTCATCACTTCTGGAGGGATTACTTGGAAAAGGTGCATGAGCCTATACGTTGGGTTGGTTTGGTGGGTTTTTTTTTTTCCTACTTTGTGCCCCTCTCCTGTGTGTCCCTACTTGTGGAACCACAATTTAGAAATGATCCCCATTTTTACTTAATCTAAGTGGACCGTTCAACCTGTTACCCACTAGGCCCTCTGTCTGGGGTGGAGCAGATGTGCTGAGCATCTTTAGAGAGAAGTTGAAGCATAAGGTCACTCCAGGACACGGTACTTTAGAAAAGCATTTCATTAGCATGGTAAGGGGCAGACGCTACTCGAGCAGTCGTGTCCCCTGGAGCTGGGTGGTTCTGTTCAGTACTTGGGTCATTCCCTCTCTCCCAGGCAGAGTCAGGCAGGGGGGAGTGTGCAAGTACTAAACCAAGCAGTGCAACCTGTAATTAAGCCTCTGCTGTGTTTACATGTTTCTTAATTCGTTGTCTTTTCAATGGCTGTATTTTAAAACTTGGGTTTTTTGTCTCTCCAATTAAAAAGAGCCAGCCCTGGCTGTCAAACGCTGTGCATGAGTTTGTCTGATATGGTTTCTATTGCCTGACCCGGGTCTGGTTTTGTGTGGTTTTTTTTATGGTATTAAGACGTTCTTCTTTAGTGCCATACTGTGCAGCCCTCCAAACACGCTCGAGGAGTTTGTCCTTTGTTGTCTTTAAATTCTTAGTCTTTCTTTAAGCTATGTCACTGCTTAGAAGCTGTGCTGGTGGAGGACCCATGTAGCTTAAAAATTAGCAAGCTAGCTTTATTTTCTTCTATTTCTCTGACGTCAGTACTAATATAACGGGAAGTTTTGTACCTGCAGGAAGTTAACAGTGTTAACTTTGCAGCAATCAGGCTGGATGTGTATATACATCTACATTTTCTTGTTCTAGACAGAAGCTTAGCGATACCTTTCTGCAGAAAAATGTTCCTCTGCAGTACATGGAACTGCACTGGGTCCTGTAGTAAACATCCTCAAGGAGGATGTACCTGTGTCGTCCTTCAAGAGAGAAACTGCAGATTTTTCCACTATTAAAAATTGAGTAGCTGCAATTGATTCTAAAAGGCTTTATTTAAAAATAAGCAAAAATGACAGTGTGTCAGAATAAGGGACATGTAGCTGCAAATCATGTGCGGGCATGTTCTTGTTGCTGCGATTGAGCAAGTAAACTTGAGAATTATGCTGGCTTAGGAGGAGGCATCAGCGGGCTGGGTAGAAGCTGTGCTGCTGTCAGTTTCTTAATGTGGCTTTTCCTCTTCCAGGCTCAAGACAAAATCAAATTCCTCTGCGTTGAAAAGGTAAGGAAGAAAAAGCTGTCAGTGGAACTTCCAAGTTCTCTGAGTGAGGGCTGCCTCTCAGAGGGAATGGCACCAAGAGTCCAGAGAGGAAGGTTCTTACCTTGTGTCAGTGGTTGGATGGAAAGACGTTGTCTTGTGAAGAGCATCATGTTCTTTAGGGGGCCTCCATCTGCTTTATGGGCCAGGTGGTGAGCCTTGATTTCAGAAAGGGGGATGAAACGTTTTGTCATCCGCACAAACTGGACATCCACCTGGGAAGTGATGGGCAGCAAAGGAGCATGGTTGGAGAAGGATATAGCCTCCAGATGTCACATAAGATCTTTGGGGTGGATAAAGATTTTAAACTGAAGCAAATGACTGATGCATACTATCTTATAATGGTATGGAAGTTTTTCCTTGCCCAAGGCTAAAATAACTTTCAGATACTTCTGGCAGGTGATCTGTTTACATGAATCTTAGCACTGTGCACTAGCAACATACGTTCATGTTGTCACAGGCAATACAAAATTAAGATGCGGGATGTAGCCAGCCTGTGAACAGTCACTTCCCTATAATTTAGTGTGCCTCAGAACTACAGCTTTCTTTGCTGTAGGCTGAGAGGGGTACATGAAGATGTTCGTTCTCTTTCCTAACCCAGAATTCTGCTATGCATGGAGGTCAGCTCTGCATCCAAGTAAGATTTGAAAATTTAGGGAGATACATTTTGGCAGCCTTCTGGAAGAGATAGGAGAAAAAGTAGAGAAAACAATCAGGATTGGATTTTCTCTTGAGAGAGAAGAAGGTAACTAGGCCAGGACAGAAGCTCAAGAAGGTACGCAATACGATGCAAAGAGGCTTCTACCTTCACTTGGCTTGCACACAGAGCTTGAAACAGCTGTATTTAGTTTACTACATTACCATGGACCATTTGGGGTTCTCTTTTCTGCTGGAGGAATCATAATGAGGATCCTTCTGATCAAACTGTGTGTGATCAGGGTATGCCTCCTTTACGATCTGAAGCAGAAGGGGAGAAGAATGTGAGACAAGTTCCCATCAGTTAAAAACTATTGTCAGCAAAGGGTATGAAATGCCCTTGAGCAAGCTGTGACTAGATGTAAGGAATAATCCTGGTGCAAAAATCAGCCTTGCTTTCCCTGAACTCCATTCTAATGGTGAGATACATTTCCTTCCTTTACATTTCTTGGGTCGAAGCAGTGCAGAACAGTATGGTTCTCAAAGCATCATCATCACCTCTTCGGAGAGCAATGTGGAAGGAGCACATGCAACAGAGGAAAACTGGGTAGATGATGATAGTCTTTGTGATGAGTTCTCTTAAAGAAAAAGCTTTTCTGTGCCCTAGGTTTTATACTAATGTCTTGCAGGCTCAGCTCACAAATTCACTAGAATTTAGTAAATCAGATTTTAATCAGAGTGTGGAGCAACACTTGACTTGGCTGGAAGC